GATTGGACACTGAATCGCATTTAAGGTCCGAGCCCTCAGTGTAACCCTGTGGGCACAACAGCTAATGTGATACTGGGACTTGTAAACACAAATCTCAATTAGGAGTAGAGAGGTAATTTTACTTCTGTATTTGGTACTGGCGCAACCACTGCTGGAATACTGTGTCCTGTTGTGGTGCCCAGAATTCAAGAAGGATGTTGATAAATTAGAGTTCAGAGAAGAGCCACGAGAATGATTAAAGGATTCTGGCCCCTCTGGTGCTCATTTTGGATGTCTTGCTGCAAGCCTGTCAGCAATTGCTGGAGACTGCCTGGCAGCATCCGGTGCAGCCCAACCCCAGGCCCTCTTCCGGACCCCCCGGGAGCCATGGAGGAGCAGCAGCAGCGTCTGGATTCCAGCGTGCCCTGCCACATCTAGCGTCTGGACGCCAGCAGCAACTGGTGAGATCACACCATCCTGGAGTGCTGGGGAGACCAACACTGGACCCAGAACTTCAGGATGAAGAAGGACACCTTCCTCGAGCTCTGTGAGTGGCTCACCCCTGCTCTGCGGCGACGGGACATGCACGAGGCCCGCTATTCCCCTCCACAAGCGTGTGGCCATCGCCCTCTGGAAGCTTTCCATGCCGGATAGCTACCGATCTGTGGCGAACCAGTTCGGCGTGGGGAGATCCACCATCAGAGCAGTGCTCATGCAGGTCTGGCAATCTCTGGCCACTGTGCCAAGGAGGGGGTGCGAGGAGGGGATGGGCAGGGAAAATGGAGAGAGGGGGTGCAAGTCCCCTCCACGGGAGGGTTTGGTCTGTCCCACCCACACTATGGACTGCCCGCGGTGGCCAGGATTGCAGGGGCGGGTTGCTCCTGGGAGTGGGGGCGCGGGGCAGTGGCGAGGAAGGAGCACTGTCAGCCACCCTGGCACCCCAGTGACTCTTGGTGATTTTGTGTGTCCCTCTGCAGGTGGTCAAGTCCATCAACAGAGTGCTGCTTCGCAGAGTCATCCACCTCACTGATGTGGACACGGTGATCAAGGGGTTTGTGCCCTGGGCTTCCCCAACTGCAGAGGGGCAATCGATGGGATGCACATCCCCATCCGTGCCCCGGATCACCAGGTCTCCCTCTACATCAGCCGGAAGGGATACTTCTCGATCATCCTGCAGGCTGTGTCTGACCACCGGGGCCAATTCGTGGACATTAACGTGGGCTGGTCCAGCAAAGCACACGACACGTGGGTTTACCGCAACTCCTCTGTGTGTCAAAGGCTGCACACTGGGACTTTCTTCCCCGACCGCCACATCAGGGTCAGGGACGTGGATGTGCCTGGTGGGAGATGCGGCCTATCCCCTACAACCCTGGCTGATGAAACTCTACACGGGACACCTCAACTCCTCCCGACAGGCCTTTAATGCCAAGCTCAGCAGGGCCCGCATCATCATGGAGGGGGCGTTCGACCGGTTGAAGGCCCATTTTAGATGCTTCCTCACCCGCCTGGACCTATCCGAGCAGAATATTCCACACATGGTGGCAGCGTGTTGTGTGCTGCATAATTTGTGCAAGAGGAAGGGGGGAGGCTTTCCTGCCAGCCTGGATGGCAGAGACTGACCACTTGGCTGGCCTCTATGTGCAGCCCCACACGGCTGCCAACCGGGAGGCCCATCGGGGGGTTGTCCATATCGGGAGGCTCTGCCGGAGTGCGTCG